TCAGTAGTTTAGCGGTTGCTTAGCAAGTGCCAGGTCCCAGTGTGTGCACATGTGTGCATACATGCACACACACACACACACACACACACACAAGTGGTCCCACATCTCCTTCTCTGACCCCTCCAGACAGGACGTGTGGATAAGAACTACCCACTGGTCACTGGGCACACTGGCCCTGTGCTGGACATTGACTGGTGCCCACACAATGACAACGTCATCGCCAGTGCTTCAGACGACACCACTGTCATGGTAGGAGCCAGGTGGATGCTGCCAGCTGGGTAGGGGAACAGAGAGGTGCCTCACCTGTGCTGGGGAAGGGCACCTACCCTACCTTACCCTGCCAGTTCCAGGATTATTTTTAGTTAAATACATACCCACTCCCTCCCAGAATGCACTGCCTAGAACTAACTATTACCGTGGTCAACTTGGGGCCCTAAGAGAAGGGGTACAGCACTCTGGACTTTTTTCTGACAGAGTGAATGGGGAGGTCTCTGGGGAGCTGGCAATGCTTCCTGGTCCTGAACTGCTGCTTCTGTTCCCAGGGCACCACCACACCACTACACTATCCTGTACTGGACACCAACAGCCCTGAGGGGCGGAGCTATCCCTTACCCATCTACTTGTTGCCTTTTCTTCCTACCTAGGTGTGGCAGATTCCAGACTACACTCCCGTGCGCAACATCACCGAACCTGTCATCACACTCGAGGGCCACTCCAAGCGTGTGGGCATCCTCTCTTGGCACCCCACTGCCAGGAATGTCCTGCTCAGCGCAGGTCTGGTGACATTTAAGAAGGGTCCCGACTATAGATGAGGGTGGGAGTGAGGAAGGCGGGGGCCCGGATGACCAGGCCTGGACACTCTGGACAGGTGGTGATAATGTCATCATCATCTGGAATGTGGGCACCGGGGAGGTCCTGCTGAGCCTGGACGACATACACCCTGACGTCATCCACAGTGTGTGTTGGAACAGCAATGGTAGCCTGCTAGCCACTACCTGCAAGGACAAGACCCTGCGAATCATTGACCCCCGGAAGAGTCAGGTGGTTGCGGTGAGTGCCTGGCCTGACTACTCCCTAGCACCCCTTGCTCGACACCAGCTGGTAGCATCTGATACCCACTGTCATCAGAGCCTCTGGTCCCAGCTCTTACCTGTCCCATCCCTACTCCAGAGATTAGTCAAGACCCCCGCACCCCGTGAAGGCTTTACAGTCTCAACCCCTGCCCTGAGTAAGCCCCCAGACGGCAAGCCTCTGCCTGCCCCTCTTCGTTCCTCTCCCATGCATCTCGAGCTCCCGAGGAGAGCTCCTTGCCTTTAGATTGAGGGGAGAAGCTGGAAACCGCATCCTCCAACCAGAACCTGCATGAAACCTGAGCTCCGGGACCTTCTCCTCTCAGATAGCCAACGCCATCTTCCAGGGTCAGGGGCCTGCACTCGGACTGACCCCCTTCGCACCCATTGACCCACTGGGTGGGGATGAAACAATCCCCAAGCTTTGCATGCCCCAGCTGGTGCCCTGGGAGGGCAATGGCCCTGTCCCCCTGTCCTGGCCAGCCTCTGTCTAACCTGGGGTGTTGGGTTTGGGGATGTGCATGTTTGCGTGGAGCACAGGCATGGCGCGGCTGGGAGCGGCGAGGGGCGGTTGGGTGGGCGGGTACTCTAACCCACTAACCCTGCGAGCAGGAGCGAGCCCGGCCTCACGAGGGCGCCCGCCCGCTGCGGGCCGTCTTCACCGCAGACGGGAAGCTGCTCAGCACCGGCTTCAGCAGGATGAGTGAGCGGCAACTCGCACTCTGGGACCCGGTAGGCCAGGCCGAGCCGGCGCAACGGCTCGCTTTGCAGGATCAGCCAGGAGCACCCTCTCGAGCGGTGGCCCGGCCCAAGAGGCCCAGGCGGAGCACAGAGCTCCCTTGTGTGTAAAGCCCCACTGCAACCCCGGGGAGCCAGCAGACATCGCCTGCCCCAGGGATCGATCAGCTCTTGAGAGTGCCTAAGGTCTGGGACCTGCTGAGAGCTCCGCACCTCCTGCTCGGTCCCCGCCCTGATAAGTCTCCAGGCCAGGGTCCTGCCACAGACCTCTGTGAAACTTCATTCTTAGGACTCTTCCCCCGCCCACCCCACACTCAGGTTGGCAAGGTGGTTGCTCAGATCTCCATCTTCCCCAAGGCAGGCAGTAGGGTGATGCTCCTCCCTTCTCCCCTCCCCCCACCAGGAGAGGTTTGCAGCCCACGAGGGGATGAGGCCCATGCGGGCTGTCTTCACGCGGCTGGGTCATATCTTCACCACGGGATTCACCCGCATGAGCCAGCGAGAGCTAGGCCTGTGGGACCCGGTAACACAGTTGGAGGCTTGGGGTGTGTGCCCCGGGGGCTGGCATCACGGGCGAGGGGCCGGACGCCCCGCACCCGCAGGGTATGCCCATTCTGACAGGGCTGAAGGTTGCTGCCACCTCACACACCCGACACTGTCCAGTTTTTTGGTTTTTTTTTTTTTTTTTTTTTTTTTTTTTTTGCGTCGCCTGAAGGAGCTCGCGCTGGCGCCCCCTCCTGGTGATGCCTAGTCCCTGGGGGTGGTTTGCTGTGACTGCATGCAACCGCACAGGGTATACTTGTGCCAGGGAAACGGAATGAGAAAGTCTAGAAGAGAGCCTGTGGGTCTCACCAGATCTGCCTTGGGAATGCATGGGATTGGGGGTGGGCATAAAGTGAAGTCTGAAGCAGCCCTGGAGGGTGAACAGGGCTGGTCACTCTTTCTGTGCTCGGCAGAACAACTTTGAAGAACCGGTGGCCCTGCAGGAGATGGACACAAGCAATGGAGTGCTCCTGCCGTTCTATGACCCCGACTCCAGCATTGTCTACTTGTGTGGCAAGGTGTTGGAGGCTGGGTGGGAAGGACCACGGCTGGGATGGGAGATGAGGGCCCTGTCTGTCCGTGCCTCTCAATTGACTGGTTTTGCAGGGTGACAGTAGCATTCGGTACTTTGAGATTACGGACGAACCACCCTTTGTGCACTATCTGAACACTTTCAGCAGCAAAGAGCCGCAGCGGGGCATGGGTTTCATGCCCAAGAGGGGACTGGATGTCAGCAAGTGTGAAATTGCCAGGTCAGCACTTCAGTCCTTTCTATCCTCCTGCCCCTCTTCCTCACGTCAGCTCTTGTTCTCCAGGTCTTCCCCTAACTGAGCTGCCCTTTGGAAAAGAGAAGGGAGCCACACTGGACTTTTTCAGTGACTGTCCCGGCACCCACTAGCCTGGCATTCCACCCAAGGTGTTTTTACCCCCAAACTGATAATGTGTGCAAAGTTCAATGCACACGGTAGTTACTCGGGTAGTTACTCAGCGTATTGGCTTCCAGTGCCTTAGTCCCAGGCATGGGGCTTTAAAAAGAACAGGGAGACAGCAAGAGCGTTGAATTCCCCTTCCTCATAGGTTCTACAAGTTACATGAACGAAAGTGTGAACCCATCGTCATGACCGTACCTCGAAAGGTGAGGAAGGAGAGGAGGTTGGGCAAGGGGGTTGGTTGGAAAGCATCAAAAGGCAGCCATCCGGTGCCCAGCTCACACCGGCCCTCTTGTCCACTCTACCCCTCAGTCGGACCTGTTCCAGGACGACCTATACCCAGATACGCCCGGCCCTGAACCAGCCCTGGAAGCAGATGAATGGCTATCGGGTCAGGATGCAGAACCTGTACTCATTTCGCTGAAAGAAGGATATGTACCCCCCAAACACCGCGAGCTCCGGATCACCAAGCGCAACATCCTAGATGCGCGTCCGCCAGCTGGTCCCCGTCGCAGCCAGTCAGCCAGCGACTCCCCCTTGTCGGTAAGCTCTCAGATCTGACCCGCTCTACCCTAGCTCTGCCCGCTGCCTCCTGCTCTCTGCCATGGTCTCCTCCTTCCTCCGTGTATCAGCAGCAGCACACCCTGGAGACACTGCTGGAGGAGATGAAGGCCCTTCGCGAGCGAGTGCAAGCCCAGGAGGAGCGCATTACTGCTTTGGAAAACATGCTGTGTGAGCTGGTGGATGGCACAGACTAGCCTGGCGTATTTGCTGCGAAGCTCTGCACGCTGCAGATCCAATGGAGCAGGGCGCACAGACTGGCATCGCCGACCTTTGGTCTGGAACTCCGTACCCTGCTTCCTGGGCTCGGGGTTAGGAGTGAGACCAGAAAAGAAACTCCATCCCTCGCGGGAGGCCTGGACATGGGGATCTTAAGTGGCAAGGACTGAGTTCCGTACTAGGCCCCGACTTTAGACTTTTCAGGATTAGGCCTAGAGGGAGCCTGGGATAATGCCGGCCTTAGTAATGGTGCTTAGTGTTCCTTGTCCCTTACCCTGGGCAGGGGAAATGCTTAGCATTAGTGCGCTGCCTGGGGCTGACCTCACGTGGATCTCAACACGGATCCCCAGTCTCAGGAAAATCCCCATTTCTCTTAATAAGCTCACTTGATTTCCTTCACAGTATGTGGGGGCAGATGGGCAGCACCCCATTTCTATTGCTGGCAAAGCCTGACTCACTGGCTTCATCCATCCCATCCATGGTACAGGGCTCTCCTCTTTTTCCCACTTCCAAAGATGGCAGCTTCTTGGAGACAGACATCCCCCACCAGAGAAATCTCAGGAGAACTGGCATAAGGTCTCTCTCTCTCTCTCTCTCTCTCTCTCTCTCTCTCTCTCTCTCTCTCTCTCACACACACACACACACACACACACACACACACACACTGCCTCCAGCACTCTACTGAGTCTATAAAAATACTGAGGCATAAGTAATGAAATGATTTACTAAGTACAAGTCTGTGCCTCCTGCATGGACGGCTTCCCCCCCCCCCCATTTCCCTTTTTGGAATCCTGGGGAACCCAGCAAACACAAGCTGGGCTGAGGACCCGCCAGGCAGCCTCTTACCCTAGGTCAGCCATCTTTGCATTGAGGTTCCAAAGACCCCACCTCCCACCCCACCGCAGGCACTCCTCCCCCAATAAAGTTAGGTAGAAAAGCATCTGGTTTGAAACCTCTTTATTTGTGCCTCAGAATCAGTCTGGTGCCCCTGGCATCAGGGAAGGGACTAGGAAGAACAGCTTTACTTTGTTGCTCTTTCCTTACCCCCCTTTTGTGCCCCTTCTGAGCCCCTGGCATAGAAGCCAGCAAGAAGGTGGCCCCAAGACAAGGGTGTGCATGGGCCCCTGCCCAGGGAGGGGGGACTGTGCTTCTTTAGGTGGGTAGGGCGGAACAGGGAGAGCCGGGGTTAGCACCATTGGATAAAGGGTGTTATTCAGCCCCTGCATGGGGGCAAGAGGGGTGCACAACCACAGAGGGCTAGCAGCAGCTGGTAGGAACGGGTGGGCGGTGATACTGGTGCCAGGGCCCTGATCAATGCCTTTGTGTCGGGTCTAGTGCTTGCCCCCAAGCCAATATGCTGCCCCCACTCCCCAAGGCACCATGAGGGAATCAGGCCTTGTCCAGACTAGGGGGCACCTTAGACACACTCCCTGATCACAATAAAAAACGTGCTGCGGGCATGGGGACTCCAATTTCTGGCTGCCTAAGGAGAAGCTGGGACCACCCTGAGACACAGGACAGGTGTGGGAGCTTGTGTGGGAGCTGGGGGAGCTGGGCACCCCGCTAAGTGCACTTGACGCTGAAATGCCTGGGTGAGGAGAGGCTGGGCCCTTGATGTGCTGGTTTGTGTCTGGGACAAAGCAGCGACACAGCACACAGGGCAATCAGCTGCCTCCCAGGGGTGAAGAGCTGAGATGCGAAGGCTTCAGGGGCAGTGTCCTGGAGAGGGGTCAGTGAGCAAGAAGGAGGACCAGCCAGAAGGAGCACGGGACAGGGACAATGCTCCTCTCAAGGATTCATTTCCTTTTCAATACCACCTGTCTCCGCCCCTGGACAGACCCAAGTCCAGAGAAGCAGATTAGGGGGTCACCGCACAGCAAAGCGGGGAGAACAGCCATGCCTCTAGGGCTCTGGCTTAAGAGAGTTACTCCACGCCTGTATCAAACCCCTGGCATCTCAAGCCTGGTGCACCCCTACACCCCCGATGTGATGGCTCCAAACTCCTGCAGCAGCACGGCAGGTGCGCGGACCCGGGTCCTGCGTGGAGTGAGCGAGGGTCCCAGCAGAGGGCGCTACTGTTCGGTCAGCGAGAGCCGTAGGATGCGCTCCAACTCTTCCTCCTCCTGGCGTGCTCGCCTCCGTCTCTCCTCCTGCTCCTGCGCAGACAACTCCATAGCCAGCCGCAGCTGCTCGTCGTAGCTCCGAAACACGTGGCTGCTGGAGCTGGGACCCGGGCTGGGCCGAGGGCTGGGCACTGGTGCCGGGGGCACGGGCTGGCGCTGCGGCGTGGGTGGGGCGCTCCTGGGGGTGGGGAGGATTTGTCGAGCGCTCCCCGCTCCCGGCACACCTGGGACACCTGCTCGTAAGTGGGGCAGGAGACATCGTGGAGGCCCCAGGGCTGGGCAGACTTGCCACCCTTCTAGGGGAGGCCATGAGTCTCACTGGGCTGTCCTGGCCCCACCCGGTGATGGAAGATCCCAGGTCCCGCCAACCTGTCTGTTGAGGGTCTGAACGTCCTGGGAGTTAGGTCCCTGCTTTCTGCACATGCCTGGAACACTGGCCACCCACCCTGTGCCAGGAAAGGGGTTTGGCAGAAGCCATCTTGATAACGGGTTTTTGATACCAGATGGAGCCCTGCTGCAGGCACTAAGGGTTGTCTGGGCCTAGCAGGGTTCCGGTGTCACTGTGCAGTCTGACGGTTTAGTGGGAGTCTCTGTGCGTGTGTGTTGGGGGTAGGAGAGGGAATAGGCACCTCTGAGTTCTCTTCGACCTCATGGGCACTGACCTGTCCTGTCGGCGGCCTTCACAGGACATGGGGTGGGTGCCTGGCTTGCTGTTGGTTAGCGCCTCCCAAATGGTGACCTGGAGGGAGCGGACTGTTAGCTGAGCTCACCTGTGCTTGGAATGGCTTGGAGTGGCATCAGGAACACACCTGGTCATACTCACTGCCTGCCTCAAGCAGGCTCTGCTGGATGGCAAACTGCAGCAGGTCATCATCTTCATCACGAGTCGCAGCCTCTCGCTGGCCACCCAGCACGCTGTAGCCACGGGGGGCCTCGAACAACGCAGGTGAGATCTCACAGCCACGGCAGGAGGCTGGGGGCGTGGGCCAGGGGTCAGGTGTGGGCTGGGCTCACCCCTGGGTGTCAGGGAGGGAAACAGCCTAGCTGTGAGAAGGCGGGGCCCTGTGGGGAGTGGAGTCTCACTGGTAGAGCTGGAGCTGCTGACGCTGGAGGAGTCGCTGCCAGGGGACGGTGTCTCGCTGCTGGGGCTGCCTCGCACTGAGGGCACTGGCTCATCACAGCCGTTGAGGTTCCCGAAGGTGATGCGGGCGTTGAGAATATGAAAGACGGGGATTTCTGAGGACAAGGAAGCCATTAAGCACCAGCCCCTCATACCTCAGACCCACTGCCCAGATTTCCTCTAAACCTCACTCTCCCAAAGTGACTGAGGAGAAATTGGGGGAAGGGGGCGCTCACCAATCTTGACTGGGAAGCCAGGAGGCAGGCGCAAGGTGATGAAGTCCCGGAGCTTGGCGAAAAGTGCATTGCTGACAGCCATGAGGTCAATGATGGGAGCCACCTGCTCACACAGGGACAGGGGATGCTCCTCACACAGCCACAGCTTGGCCTTGAACCTGGTCCCCCAGATCCCAAGGGGTAAGGGAAGCTGTAGGAAGCCATGGCCTCCTAGCACCTCTTAGACCCTTACCCTGCCCATCCCTCCCCAGAAGAGCAGGGGGCCTCACTTCTGTGTCTTGGTGGTCAGTTCCATGGGACGACCCATGTCCCGGTTGCCAAGCTCAAAGTTGGGGTTGAAGTATTCCTCCGCAGTGATGGCAGTGGGGTTGGCTTGGCTCAGGGTCTGAGTGATCAGGGTCTGTACCGCACGGAGGGAGGCTTTAGCCCGATTCCAGGCCAGGGGTTGGTGACACAGTCCCTCATCCCTCCCCTCTCCAGCATGGAGCTGACACTGGCTTGGGAGTAGGAAGCCCACGTAGGTCATGTACGCGGTTGCCACCAGAACCTCTTAAGCCACACCCACACCCTTCAAAACAGTAACGCCCCTGACACACACTCACCCCATTTTGGGGGCCCCCGTGCTGCTCGGCAATTCCCAAGAAAGACTGCAGAGGTGTCTTACAACCTAGAAGAAATATGTGGCCTCAGGACACTGCAGCCACACACACATGGGTGCCTCATGCCTAAGGCAAGGGTGTGGGAAGCTCTTGCACCCCACGATCCTAGCTACTTCCACCTAAAGTGATGAGGACTCACCAGGACCCACTGCAAGCTTGGGCGAAATGAAAGGGCCCCTAAGCCAGACGTGGTGGGTGGCCCTTGGATACCAGCACTTAGGAGGCAGAAAGGCAAGTGGGTATCTGTGAGTTGGAGGCTAGCCTGGTCTACATTGAGAATTTGGGGCCAGGGCTACGAGTGACACTCTGTCTCCCTAAATTAATAAATAGAACAAATAAAAGCACTTAAAGCTCAGAGGAAACTTCCCAAAGTACCCCTCTCCAAGCTGGTGACCCTGGGTAGCAAACCGCCTGTCTTCTTTTGGGGAGTGCGTGGGAGCGGCTCCTTTAGGTGCCTGGTTAATGACTTTGTTGTCTTCTCAGACAAGCAGAAATCACATGTCTCCACTTGAGACAGGTTAGATGGTGCCCAGTGAATGTGTGCGACATAAGCAAGCACACAGACTCAGTGGCAAGGCTTGAATCAGATGCCTAGATGAACCTATAAATGGCATGCATGACATTTTTCTCCAGTGCAACACAGACATTAGTAATCAATCACTGAACCCAAATGAGCCCTAGGAACCTTTGCAGTATGGCAGGCACCTATCTGAGTTGACCTCAATTTGCCTGACTGAGCCGTCCTGGCACTGGGCGGCCAGAGAATGCTACTGGGGGCACCCTCCCTCCGACTGGTGGTCCCGCCCATCTACAGCGTCTCCCCCCATTTGTCTCAAGCTCGTTACCTTTGGCCTTGCCTTTGTGTTGTTCTGAAAGATGCTCTGTCCGAGTCCGGGTGATGAGCTCCACGTTGGAGGCCCCATATACCTGAGAAGAGACAGGGAGGGGTGGGGACGGCCTGGTGCTGCTCAAGGGAATGCTAAGCACTCTCTCCAATAGAAACCTTGGCGGGAACCTTTGTCCCGTCTCTAGGCAGGTGGGCAAGTAAATATAGCCAATTATTTCACTTATTCATTCAACAAACTCTTTAGTGGTATTTGAATTCAGGGCCTGTCATGGGCAAGCATTCTCCCCCAGCTGCAGCCCCACTCTGGTGAGCAAACTTCCAGAGGAGCAGTTAGAGACCAGCCACTGAGGTCGGCATCCGGGACACAATGAACAAACCTGACACCATCCCTGCTCCTTTGAGAGCCACACTCTAGTTGGAAGACAGGAAAATGTGCAGTCATAAAACAGAGACGCAGGCCCTGGTGGGGGCACCCAAGGCCCCTTATCTGAGCATCTAGAACCGGGGAGGGCTTCCCGAAGGAGACAACATGTACGGAGCCTTAAAGTCTTCGTCAGCACCTTCATTCATCGAATGCTGGGGAGGTGGGGCCCCACAGCGGCAGTTGATCCCCAGCTCTGCTATGTAGAAGTGTGCACGGCTCCTGTGTCTCTGCTAGACCAGCGGAACACCGCAACCCTCATCTGTAGGCCAGGAGAAACGGCCCGGCAAGCCTACTTAGTGGGGTACTAGGAGTGCCATGGGGGGGGGGCTCAGTAAACATCTGTAAGGTGGGGTGAGAGCACCGGCCCGTTGTGAGGACCGCCGGCCGTGACTGTCCTAAGGACTCCACAGAGGCCCACAGTGGGACTCTAGTAGTGTAGCTAGGTAAATGTTAGAATACAGCAGCTATTTCTCCTCGTATCTAGGGCAACAGCTGAATGTACTGGTGTTTGGGGAAGGCACCTAGACCTTGAAGAGGTCACAGTAGAGTACAGCGATTGTTTCCCATGCTTTATAGAATTATTTTCTATCTATGCATGACTTTGGTCATAAGACTATCCAGGCACACTTGAATTATTGGGCACTGCAAACACCACACAATAAGCACTAAAGGTTGCAGGGCTGTGATGGTTTCCTTCAGAGAAAATATAAAGTAGATCAAAAGGGCTTTGGTTTCAGGAACTTGTATCCCAAACAGAGCCTTTGTGTACAATCAATAAATTTGCTTCTGAACGGAAGTTCGAGGTTCTGTTCACAGAAACTGTTCCTCCTCGCTGCCAGAGAGCCTAAAATTACATTCTGGGGAGACTCTCTGTTTTTGAGTGGTTCATGCAACACAGGACACCCCAAAACGCCCCCCTGCAGGAGGGACTACTGATCCCATGCAGCATTGCCTCCGTGCTCACAATGCCAAAGAGGGTGGGTTGGGGGCGCTCTGTTGAGCACGGCCGAGCTCCGGGACCCAGAGCTGTACCCTCACCTTGGCTTCATACCCATTCACCATCTCTGTCTTCTCGCTGCGCCAGCCCAGAATGCCAGTCTTGTTCCTGGGGAGGTAGAGTAGTCCCCGTGAAATGGCCGCCCATCAGGCTAGCTTCAGGCTAGCCACGCTGCACCAACTCACCTCTCAAAGGAGATGTTCTTGGTGTCAAGCTGTGTGGTGACAACCGGCGCAGTGAGCCGGCTCAGCACTTGCTCCTCAGTGGGTTGGGCAGCAGCCAGCAGCAGTTCCCGATCCTGCCCGGCCAGGGCCAGCGTCTCCATGTATACCACACGGCGGTCATGGTCTATCTCCATGACCACGGCACTTGTGTCTGCAGCCAGGGAACAGCACAGAGGTCAGGGTGGTCGGGGGCTGTCTGCTGTCTCCCACCCTGCCCCATTTACTGCCAGACTGACCTTGACCCCTGAAGACAAAGCTGCGATTCCCTCTCTGCCAGGTCATATGGTCAAAGCCCAGAAGTGTGGTGTCTACCCTCAGGTTCTGCCCACTCTTCCACACTTTGTAGGTGTCACTAGGGCAGATCTTGGATACCAGGGGCACTGGGTAGAAGTGAAGGTCAGAAGGGGCTTCAGTTCCCTGGGCCAGCCCAGGGCACAGAACTGAGTTGATAGCACAGCCAGAAAGACTAGGGAGCTGGCAAGGGCGGAAGAAGCCCTTCCTTCAGCCCCGTCCCCCGTGGCTCATACACCACTGTCTCCGATACCCACTGTGTATTCATTTACCCACTCAGCCTCCCACCCACGCTATCAACAGGTGTTTACTGAACACCACATCCACACCAGGCCCTGTCCCAGTCACTGGAGGTACAACACCGGACAAGGTAAGACTTTTGCCTGTTGGACTTTACCTTAGAGCAAATGACAGGCAAATCATTACAGAGGAATAGAGTTGATGATAATAGCAACAAGATAGCAGCGGAGGCAGTCTGCAAAGACCTGGCTGGAAGTTGGCATTGATCTGAGGCTAAGTGAGAAGGAACCCCATGAAGATCATGGAGCCACACTCTGGCAGGGGACAGTGAACTCAGAGTCCCCAGATCAGATTCAGCCCCTCTTACCCCAGCTGGTGAACTCCCATTTCATCTCCACGTAGAAATCCTGGGCCTGGAGAGAGACAAAGAAAAGGGCTGAGCGGGCACTAGAATCAGATGCTGGGCTACAGTGGGCAGGAGGAAGCTGGAACTCACCTTCCGGAGCTTCTCCAGGAGCATGGGGATGCCTGCCAGTCGCTTCACCACCCGCTGGTAGTCTCGGTACCGCAGCACCAGCTGCACCAGCTCCAGGTCCCTGGTGCTCACAGCCTCCTGTAGCACTGGGGGCGGGGAAGCCATGTCACAGGGTGAGACACTCCGGCCCACTCCAGGACACTGGCTGAAGGACTAAATAACAAGGGTGCCCACCTGTCCAACCACTGCGATTCTCCCTGCCCACATCTGCGCCGTGTGCCAAGAGCACACGGGCACATTCCAGGTGCCCCAGCGTGGTGGCCAGGTGCAGGGGAGTCCGACCACGGGGATCCAGTTGTTCAATGTCCACCTGTGGAAGAAGTTGAGATGGAGCCCTGGTCACTTCGGAGGCACCTGACCCGGGTCTAACGGCAGCTAAACTGGCAGCAGGTCTCTGGCTGTCACCTGTTCTAACTCACAAGGCCACGACAGAGACCAGCTTGATGATGGCCCTGTGAATGGAGGGCATAGGAGACAGAGGGAAAAGGACTCTGGGAGGGGAAAGCAAGGACCTTCCTTCCTGTCTGCTAGGCCTCCAGCTAGTTATGTCCTTCAAGGCATCATGGGCCACCTGTGGAATCTAAGGCGGAGTCAACGGTGGTCCATCCAAAGAGGCTGTTAGCCAAGGAGGATGTCAAGAAGCGCCACAACCACTGAGTAACTGTTGGCAAACGGGTACAATACCCACATAGCAGGTGGTGCACACACCCACAATCCCAGCAATGAGAAGGCTGAAGCAGGAGGATGGTGGTGAGTCGAAGGTTAACCTGCGCTACACAGGGTGCCGTCCCATGTGTTCCCTCCCCTGCCCCACCGCCCAGATACATTGGCTATGATGAAAGAGCATGCTCACAGCCCAACTTCAGAGCCCTCAGGTAGCGGCATTTTTGCATCAATCCTGTGATTTCAGGAACGATACTCCACTACATGCAATTGTACTGTGTTGTGAAAAGCATATGTGTTAAACATAAATATTTAAGCATATCTCAGGAGTCTGAACTTCTGGCTAAACTCAGTGACTCTACCATTTATACATGTTAATGCCTTTCCAAACCCTATTAAAGAGTGTCTCTCCCAAGTAAGACGAGGTAACAAAAACTATACTGAAATGGATGGGATTGCTATCACTTCAAAATATAGGAAGCAATTGTTCTTAAACCAATGTCTCCAACTGGTATCCCTGACTGCGGTTTCCTGGGCCTTCCACCTGGAGGAACACACTGATTGCTATTCAGAGAGGGGAACCATCAGCGGACTTGGAGTTGTGGGGACAGGAGGGACGAGGAAAGCAGAGCAGGAAGAGGAGGGGAAGGGAGGGCTGCTCCTCTGCACAGGGGTCCCTTCGAGTCTTTACTGATCACCATGTGCACACAGTAAAATTCAACAAGATTGGGAAAAACGACAGACAGACAGCCCTCACAGCTCACCAAGGGCAGCCACTCACACTCAAGATGCTAAGAAGAATTCTGGATCCAACTCTATTTAGCAGACCCCACCAGTGCTGCGCCTTCCCAGCAGGGCTAAACTAGCCTAGAGAAGAGCTCACCTGAGCCAATCAACTAGATTAAGAGTTGGCATTCAAAGGCTCATGGGCAAATAATTTAATTAATTTGTTCAAAGGAAGCTAATCCTCTTTAAAGGAAGACAAAGTTCAGATGTTTAATATGTATCTACAAGGTTCAACATCCAGTCATACCACTAGGCGGGACGTGAAGCTAGACCTGTCATCCCAGCAGCCAGGAGGCTGAGGTGCAAAGGCAGTTTGGACCACGCAGCTTCCCATGCTTCCAGTGTGTCTTACTTTCTGTTGAGCGCCTTTCTTCCTCTGAACCCTCATACTAAAGCCTACAGCCAATACCTTTATTAAAGCCCAACTGGGTGTCATCAAGAAGACAACCGCCCTTGCATGTCACAAGCAGGGAGACACGGTCTGTAACACAGAGGAAGAGCATGCAACAGAAACACCGAGAAAGTAGACAGTGATGCAGATGCTCAGCCAGGCAGTGGTGGTGCACGTCTTTAATCCCAGCACTTGAGAGGCAGAGGCAGGGGGATCTCTGTGAGTTCGAGGTCAGCCTGGTCTACAAGAGCTAGTTCCAGGACAGGCTCCAAAGCTACAGAGAAACCCTGTCTCGGGGAAAAGTGTGATACAATATGCTCAAAGTTTGCGATTTCGGGAGGCTTCTTTTGTTGGTTTTTTTGTTTGTATGTTTGGTTGGTTGGTTTGGTTTGGTTTTGGTTTTTGAGACAGGGTTTCTCTGTATAACAGTCCTGGCTGTCCTGGAACTCACTCTGTAGACCATGCTGGCCTCAGACTCAGAAATCTGCCTGCCTCTGCCTCCCAAATGCTGGGATTAAAGGCATATGCCACCATATCTGGTCTTTTGTTGTTGTTTTTTTTTTTAATGAGCTCTTGATATGAAGCCCAAACTGGCATTGACAGGGCTCTCCCTCCCCTCCTCAGTTGGCTGTTGTTATTGTGGGAGGGAGGAGTTGTGTGAGGGACAGGGTCTTAGCTGGCCTTGAACTCAGAGATAGCTGAGGCTGGCACCTCAGCCTCCCAAAGTGCTGGGATTGTGGGAACGCACTACCACACCCAGTTTGACGTCTAGAATTAAAGGCTTGCTCTACTATGCCCAGTGGTAAATTTTGTCTTAACTCCCGCATTTTTGCGGCAATTTGTTGTGGGAATGAGTACAGTGAAAGCCTACAGATCCAAGAAACACAGCACCCCATAAAAAGTCGATGCCAGGCCCCTCATCATGAGATGCTGGGAAGGTGCTAAGAAAGCCCTAGGAGCACAGAAGGGAAGGAGACCAGTATCAGTGGGACAAACAGAAAACACCTGACTTCTCATGACAGCTGATTCAAGCCCTGAGCCAGCATGATGAACCCTTTTGGTACTGGGGTGCAGGGAAGGAAGGGTCGGTGTAAAACTCTACACTTCGTGAGAAGACTCTTCCAAAACGAAGGGGACACAGAGACTGTGGTGAGCCACAGCTAAGAGAACGCAGTGCCAAAGGCGCGTGGAAAATGGTCAGGTGGGGAGAAAACGACACCAGATGGAGACTTGAATCCACACAAAGAAACCGAGAATGCCAAAAATGTTAAATTTGCAAGTATAAGAATGTCAGTAAAATATTTAAAACCCACAAGAATAAGGAGAAGAGATGTCAGCAGATGAAGATTTTCAACACGTCTTCAGAGGATGGAAAGTGCCCAAGGAAGGCTACTGATTTAGTGGAGCGGGGAAAGCCAGGACCCACTCGGCGGCGAGGGAGGGGCAGAGCAGCAGCCAGGTCACCCCAAGATCACCAGCATGGGGTGTGCTAGACTCTCCAAGGATGAGGTTATGGAGTGCAACCCTGGCAACCAGTGCGAGCAATCCCTTGCACTGGATCCCACGGTTGTGCTTTGTCCCCCTCCACCCAGGTGGGGTACTTATTTCTTCCTTGGAGGAAGTGAAGACTGGAATAACCTCTGGATAGAGATATCTGGGGTTCCCAGGATGGATCTGTAGCTTCTACGGTTGTGCTATGTGTCAGTGAGCTCTAGGCCACACTCCCCCACATGTCCCTAGAGCCACAAGGAACTGGACACTGGAGGCAAAGTGTCTACCATGAAATCAACCAAACAGACAATGGGACAGTATGAACAGGAGGAAACTGTCTCTGTGGGGAGTGAAAGGAACTTGGGGGCCTCCTGTCACCGTGCCTTTCCCCACCCTGGCGCTCACTCTAGAAGCATCTTCCAGGAGCATCTTCCTTGCCTTTCCTGGCTTGCTCCCTTCCTGCACAGCGCCCACTTCACTGCACTTTCAGGTTAAAACAAATGGCACTGGCAGGTGGCGAGGCGCTCTGCAGGTAAGGACACCTGCCTGCCACCAGGCCTGGTCACCCCTGGCTGAGAGAATTGACTTCCAAAACTGTCCTCTGACCTCAACATGTGCACAGTAGTGTGCTCATGCCTCCCCCAACACACACACACACACACACACACACACACACACACACAGACACAAAACTTAAACTTTTAAAAGCAAAAACCTTGCCTGCTCCCTACTCCAGTATTCAGGTAAGGCTTAGAGCATGAAAAGCACTGAGCCTCCAGAACACTCTGTAGCTCCCCCCTTTCCCTCACCCTCCACCTTCACCCTATTCCCATGATCTGTGGGCTCAACCTTCAAAGCCTACCTCGAGGCCCTGGAAGTTCCCACCTCAAGCTACCACGGTGCTCCCAGTCACCCATGTATGACTGTCCCCCTTACAGCTCACAGCACCTCTCTCGTGTCCCCTCACGACCAAGCTAAACTGAACTTGGGAGAGCGAGAGATGGTTCAGTGGTTAAGAGCTCACTTACTTTCCAGCACCCACATGCTATGGTGCCTCACAACCCAACAGCTCCAGTTCTGGGGATCTGATGCCCTCTTCTGACCTCTGAGGGCCCCAGGCTGCATTCAATACACATACAGGCCTGCAGGCAAAACACTCACACACATAAGATGAGACAAATAGATCTAAAATAAAGAAATAAATGAAATGAACTCAGGGCTTGATACACTTTGGCACTAATCTCTCCAGAGGTTTTTTTTGTTTGTTTTTTTCTTTGTTGTGTTTGCTTTGTCCTTTGTTTTTTATTGTGTTCATCTAGAAGCCTACCCTGGACTTATCTTGAAACTCATTTACTCCACCTACCTACACTATCTGTCTCCTTAGAAATGATCCCTTGGATAGCCTAGCACTGTGATTTTTACCCCCAAAAGTTCATGTGCTGGAAGGCTGCTCCTTCCTGGTAGAGCAGGATAAAAAAGGCTGTGGATCTATAGAAGCTGGGGCCCGTAGAGGGGTGACTGAGGCAAGGCCAGCACCAGAGCAGGTCAGGTCTTGGGGGACTGGATCAGCTCCCACAGTGAGTTCAGCTTCCTGGCTCTTTGCCTTGCCTCACCCTGTGCTCCTTCCGGATGGGCTAATTTACTCACTGCCCTGTGACACAGCCAGGTAGGTGGTCCTAGCCAGATGCTGCTGCTGATGCTTCTGCTCTTTGAACTCTCTCCACTCTGACCTTTCCAGTCCCCAGAATCGTGAGCCATTGTGGGCTACCTCAACCTCTTTTTCTTGTAGTCTTCAGTTATGCTGGAGGGTTTGGTTTGGTTTGGTTTGGTTTGATGGTATGGGGGATCAAGCTGTCTGCTAAGCAAGGGCTGTACCACAGGGCCACATCCCAGCCCACCAGGAAATCTGTTACAGCAACACAAACTGAGTGTCTATGGAACCTTTCTTTCCGCCTTCGGGTTGCCACCCAAATGTCACC